AAAGCCAACTATACCTCTCTCTCTCTCACTTTCCCGACCTCACTGTACGTCCTCTGAAAGCATTCCCGCATTCTACCTGTACTATTTCCACTACTTCTCTACCACAGGCGAGTAACAAATACTAAAACAAACTAACACAAATTTCACTTAGTGTATTTTCAGAAAGATAAAAACGACGAAACCCACCAAAGGCCACCCGACGCTCCAAGGCTTAACTGGTTTAAGCTGTATATCCCTTACGTCCTTCTTAGGACTTTATTTTTTGTTATTTGAAGCCCCACTCTGGCTTTTGCCAGGGGCCGCAATATAGGCAGGTCATCATTATGGCCAAATGTCTAAACGCGGTTTCTGGGACCTCTCCACGGTGATCCTCATCCGCATGGTGGCACTTTGTGTCATCGGGTGTTTATCGCTTGTGTGATGTCCTGGTGGGGTAAAAAGCCAATCCAATCCAAACCAGTTAAGGACATAGCACAAAAAGAGGGCCAGCACTCGTGGATTCCAGACTATTATGCCATAACATTGTTACATCCCCTGCCCCCCCCCCACATATTTTCAAAAATGCATCTACATTTCGGATAAGGGAACGAGACCGGTTCATGCCTTTGACCCGGCCTCGAGATATCCAACCAGGACCAAAACGCACAAGGGGCAGGCATTGCATAGAACCTCATCCCATCAGAAGCTCAAGAACCAACGACCTCTTTCTCAACCTAGCAAGCTTTCTGTCTCTCTCCATCGGCTGCGCACGACAAGTAGATTGTGACAGTCGTCCGGATTTAGGCCCTGTTTTGGACGCTCATTGGCAGGACTGTTCACTTCGTGGCGGTGTGACTGAGGGTTGCCTACGGTGCGCGCACAAATGATCAGTACAACGGCCAGCGGACAGGACAACCAGCTAAATCCAGGAACCAGGACCCCCTAAAACCTGCATCGAACTTAGGCAAACAAAGGAACAAACTCAGATGTAATTGCACACCACAAAGGAACAGAAATTAAAAAAAGATAGCAAAGGAATTATCCTTGATAAAGCAGGCGGCTAAAAAAGGACTACGCTTGGAATTAATGTTTGATTTTTACGATACGATACGAATATGGCCTAACGGCTGAAAGGGGTTTCTGGCATTTCTCCACGGGTGATCCTCATCCGCATGGTGGCAACATCTATCTTCATCAGCATCATCGGCTCGGAGTAGGTTGGCATGTTTCACCATCTCACAGGATAACTGAACCACGGATCATGACAGTGTTCTTCTCTCTCTCTCTCTCTCTCTCTCTCTCTCTCTCTCTCTCTCTCTCTCTCTCTCTCTCTCCATCAAAATTTCCAAATCATCCATGTTTTTATCTCAGTGTGTTCCCTTTGCTCTTTTTTTTTTTCTATTAATCATTTATTTGTTTATTTATTTCAAATTATTGACCAAGATTAGCCTGTTAGTCCAGCCTATTATTGCCTCCCAGGAAATGTTCTTGAAAGTAAAGACAGCTCGTCTACTGTTAAAATGTACCTCCACATGTATACTGGTAACTAAAATAAAAAAAAGAGTATCAACGTACGCCTTAGGGTCTACCAGAAAACGTTATCAAAAGCACCTGGCGCTCGTGTGCAGTTACTGTACATTTCATGTACCCATTCACGTCACTTAAATCTAAACATGCAATTTTGACGTCTTCGAGCTTACCGGGAAATATCCTCGAAAGTAAACTCGGCTTGTGTGATATCGAAATATATTTTTAATACACATAATGATCATTTAGCAGGTCCTTTTCAGAACGTGGCTGACGTCCCAGTCGGCGTAAAAGAAACTCGTTTCTTTGCCAGCTCTCTTGTCTCGTGCACTCTAAAATTCATCGAGTCACTTATTTCCTGTGCTCATCTTCATGTTGATCGGTCCCTACTAGAGCTGTACCGAATAGTCGCTTCGTATTCGCTTCGGGGCCGAATAGTGGACCTATTGACTATTCGGTATTCGGCCGAATAGTTGCGGTCGGGCCAAATACAAATAGTAGTTACCTTACACCAGCATACACGTCCTTAATACTGACAACATGGAACGATTGATTTTGTTGAAAGCTAATGCAGTTGTCAGTGACAAATTCCAAGTTTAGTTACTTGTTATAATACTTAGCATTCTTTCATTTCTAGTTATTAGTTACCGCAGACTGACTGAAAGATGCAACACATAACATTTTTTTAAATGTTTACTATTCTGTACTGATATTAACTAGATATGGAAAGAATATAAACGCCGGCCACATCCAAGTCAATAATATGAAATTCAAACCAACGGCAACATATAAGTATTTGGATGCAAACTTCAACTGCTCCAACAAGTGGAAAAAAGAAATACAATCTAGAATACAATCTAGAAATAAAGTGTACTATGCCCTTCAACATCTGCTAAAGACAAAGTGCTGTCTCGCAACACCAAGATCAAAATATATAAAACGTTGATAAGACCAGTCGTTTTATATGGCTTTGAAACTTGAAGCAGAAATAAAAGAGATGAGGATTATTTCGGGTTTTCTAAATCTTTGGACCCATCAAAGATGCTAACAGCGGGGAATGGAGAGTGAGAAGCAACAACGTAACACATAATCTGTTTAAATCACCATTGATCACTGGCATCATGAGAGCTAACAGACTTAAATGGTTGGGGCATATTGAAAGAATTTCAGATGACAGAGAAATAAAACTGTAGACACCTGAGAGAGGAATGGGCGTAGACCACGAGGCAGACAAAAAAGAAGTTCGAGAGATAATGTCCAGTCAGATCTGCAAACATCTGGTGTCACAAATTGTGAAGAGAAGGCCGGCCAGAGAGATGAATGGAGACGAGTGATATATGCAGCAGTAAACCTCTAGGGCTCAGAATGCTAAAGAAGAAGATGACTATTCTGTGCTACTTTATGTGAAGTAAAAGTTCAGCGTACATTTGACATTATGAATGTGTGTGTGTGTGTGTGTGTGTGTTTTTTAAGTAATATTTTATAGACTATACACTATTCATATTCGGCCGAATAGTTGGTCCCGTTATTCGTATTCGGCCGAATAGTGAAAATCACTATTCTGTACAGCCCTAGTCCCTACCCCCCCCCCCCCCCCCCCCCCCCCCCCCCCAACTTTCTGGTATTATGTTTTTTCCCTGTCTTATTCACTGTGGTGTTTGTTTTGGCCAAATTATGTCAGCTTCCGTGACTTGACTTCTACGATACATAAAAAAAAAAAATTGTTACGTATCATTTACAGGACGTTGCAGACCAAGCCCCAGCATTTTTTGGCTGTTGTGATTTTTTTAGGCAAATTTATGTCCAGTAGTTTGCCATGGCTTTCTGGACGGTCGACTTCTCGATTCCACTGTCAAAACAGAAGCAAGGCGCAAGGACCGCAGCTGTGTCCACGATACATATCTTGAGAAAATAAGATGGTAGTTTCCCCTGAAACGTACAGGCAAATACAATACAGATAGCTGTGCCCCGTGTAACATGCTGACAATATTGCACTCTAGACTCACCCAGCATGCAGAGTATGAACACTTTTTTGAAAGTTCACACACTGGGCACAAAGGCGCGTTTTACATTCAGACCTGTCATGTCATATATTCATCGTTCACCAGCTATTCGACACTTTTTTTTAATAACGAATTTTATATTCATAGAAAAGTAAACAAGTAAAGTACTCTTTTGTTGCGTCAGTTACGCATCCTACATAGTGTTAGAGTTGAGATGATTCAAGAACCGACGTCACAGCACTCTGGGCATCCCCATAAGCCTATCGAACCCATCTTCAACGGCAAGTGCAGAGTTCTAGTACCACTAGTGACAAAAGCGGTCTGACTAATGTCCGTCTTACCTTTCCTCTGAGTATCGGTCAGAGCTACAGGACTATCACACTGTGTGTGACACACTAGTCAGCCGCTCTATAGCTCTGTGGGGGAGACATAGTCACATGGCATCACACACAATATAATCATCATGATTCTTTCAACTTGGAGAACTTTCTAGTTTTAATTGTGGTCTTTTTTTTTTTTAGCCGACTATTTGATGTAAAGTCAACGTCTGTGACTTGCGCGTTGCGAACGTCACTCCTCGTTGCGTCACTCTCTCTAGTCTCTGATGATCAATTTTATGTTCCAACTTGTAAAAGTGCTCACATAAGCCCTTAACCACGTCTGCCTTATCATGCATCAGTATTCCACCAAGTTGTGCAGAATCATCCAGTCTGTCCGTCGGTTCATTTCCCAATACAGTGGCATACACGGAGAAAAGATCCAGACAACGCTTTTCATCTTGAATACCAAAGCAGAGCATGCCTAGTCTCACCATCCTCAGCACGCTTTCTGAGTCAGTTACAATCACTATGTGTGTGTGTGTGTCTGTACGTGTGTGTGTGTGTGTCGTGTTTTCTAGACAGCAGAAAGCTGCAGTGACCGCCTCCACCTCCATTCTTAAGCTAAATGTTGTGGTATCATATGCTAGGCACTTCTGCACCAAACGTCTTTTGCTTAGAACCCCCAAGCACTTATTTTGCCTCACGACTCTTAGCCACCCGTAAAAATAATCATATCACTCCAGCAAGCATTATCCTGAATTATTTGCTAAATTGCCACTACCGTGGCCCCTCACGGCTTAGTGTGATTATGATTCTACACAAGTCTGACTGTTTTTCTGACACTCTGATCCACTCCTTTCCTCGCCTACTGTTCACAGGTTTCAACTTGTCTAATCGTGTCCTCCGCCTGAGCCATCCATGACTTACTTTTATAGTGCTAGAATCTATTAAGAAGAACGCGGAAGCAAATTCTTACAAACACAGAATGCTTTCAATTCAGTGATGTTAACGCATTCAGCTTGTCCCCCTTAGGAATTCAGCAAGTAGATTTCGTTTTCCACTGTAAAACTTGATGAATTTTGTTGCATTATGTGAATACCGTCTTTGAAAACAACTTTCCCTGTTGTTGCTCCTAGTTTTATTTCGTATCAGGTCTTTTCCTTTCCCCCTTCTATTTTGTTTTCAAATTCTTACAATAACAAAATGGCCTCAACGCAGCGATGTTCATACAGTCAGCCTGCCCCCTATACAGATTCAGCCGGTGGATTTCGCTATGCACTGTGAAATGTTCAATATTATTTACCGGTGCATAAACATTACCTTCGAAAACGGCATCACCTGGTGTAGCTGCTAGTTTTACTTTGTATATCGTCTTTTCAGTTTCCCCTGTAGATTTGTTTTCATTTAGCGTGACTTTAAGGATGCGAATAACTTTACGAAGTTTGAATACTGAGCATATACTTGTATTTGTTTTTGAATTTATTGCGTCGATCACAAGACTCGCCAAAGTTTTTGAAATATGTGATGTAACATGGAGTTCCTCGAGACTTTTATACCCACACAAGCAATATTCTTGAGGAATTGAGGCATTCACACAAGTCCTGTCCCATGAAATCTTCTCAAAGAGACTAATCCCGTGTCTAAGAGGTGCAAGGGGAGGTGGTGTGTCACTTTTGAAGTAGAGCAGGTCCAAAAGAGTTGCATGAGTGTCGAAATGAGATGTCAGACGTTTAGTGTTGACCTTTAGGTTTGTAGCCACATCCGGGTACTTTCTCAGAAACCAGCCCGGGAAAGTCAGGATGGTGTATGGGGTACGACTTTCAACAACTCCATTCCTAGAGTTTCTCAATGGTCCCCATCTGACACCATGATCTGAAAAGGAAACTAATAAAGAGTTGTTCAGGTGGCCGCTTTGATTCAACGACCGGTAGAAATTTAAAAGATGTTCATCAAACATTTTGGCGTCTGTAGGTTGGTCATGCGTTGGCTTTCCGAGCATTGCCACAACAAAAACAGGTTTGTTCCGAAACGTCTGAAGAAAGCGACTGACATAATCCAACAGAAATGACATTTCCAACTGGTTACCGGCGCAGTACGAGTCATATTCCCAGATATCTTTCTCGTCAGACATTGCTAGAGTTAATGGTCTTGTATTGTATCTGGCAAACGGGCGTCTGAAACCTTTCTTTAGATAATGAAAAGCCCCAATGCGTGGCCAATCTTCGGTGTATAATGTCTGATATCCAGCTTTTTCAAAGGTGCTAAATATAAGATCAAAAGTATCCATATAATTTTCATCAGACCACCACTTCATGATCTCATCATACGAAGTTCCACCGAATAATGGCAAAAAGTTTGGGAAAGTATTTTCCCCTAGTTGTGAATGCATCGTTAGATCAAATGATTTCAGTGAATTTATTAGATACGAGTACGTCTTGTTACAACCTCTTAGAAACTGATTTCTGGGCAAACTGTCCATGCCTATCATAATTATATTTAATGTTTCTTTCGGAGACGAGATAACTTGACGCTTCTTGAAATTCAATAAATCTGTTTCATCAAATTCATTGTGCTTTGGGACGAGACAAAAGAATGTTTTTGATACAACTTCGAATGTCTTGTTTGTGCACTCCACCTTTAAAAATTCAGCATCTTCAGGAAGATCGACTTTGTCTCTGAAAGGTTTGGACCACTCACTGTATTTAAAACTATTATCATTCGTTTCGTTGCGAAAGATGTGTCGATATCTACAATGTTGAAAATCGCTAATTTTAAAATATTCTTCAACTTTTTCTGTGTTGACTTTGAGTTCATGAGCTTCTGTGATGTAGGTCAGGTCTGGTTTGAACGTACCCTCACAGCTCATCGTCTCTAGGTCTAGTCCAGCTATCTCCATTACGCTAGTTTCATACGGGTTTACATTTGGAAACTCACATGCAGAGGGCATGAAATCGTAATGCGTTATTTTATTAGGGACATCATTATGTTTTACACCGTACAGGGCGTCACTTGATGGCACACCATACGGGGGTACACTAGAATTCACACCGTATAGGACTTCTTTGAAAGTTACACCGTAAGGGGATCCGATTAGTGCGACGTTGTGTGGAGCGTCATTTGATGTTACACTGGAAACTGTTTCATTAAAAGATGTAATATATGGGGTCGGTGGGTTTGTGGAGTCTCTGTCCAGGTGCTGAGAGGAGCGAGCTTTTGCGTACGCCACATTGAGACGTATGTTGAGAGTATTTGAAAAATACCACTCGCGGAACTGCAGAGATAGCAGTAAGGTAATCATAAACAAAGTTATAAAGTATATGGTTGATCGCACAAGCAGAAAGCGTCCTGAAAAACAAATTGACAAGTTTTAAAACATAGTTAATTTGTTTGTTATTAATTTACTCAGCTAGTCAGTCAATTAGTTATTCGGACAATCAGGGACCTAATTAGATTCCTTCTTAGCTAGTCAGATAGCTAGTTAGTTAGATATCAAGCTGGTTAGTTAGTTTATAACCTTGTCAGACAGTCAGTCAGACAGTCAGTCAGTCACTCAGCTAGTCAGTCAATCAGTCATGTAGTTAATCTATTCATCTGCCAATAACTTATTCAGGCTGTCAGATAGGGTAGTATATTCTTTGGGCTTATAGTGATTAACAGTCTCAGTTCAGTTGTGGATTTTATATTCTTATATATAAAGTAGGGCTGTACCGAATATTCGCTTCGTATTCGCTTCGGGGCCGAATAGTGGACCTACTAGCTATTCGGTATTCGGCCGAATAGTGGCGGTCGGGCCGAATACGAATAGTGATTTCTGCATACACTGTGATGGACTAAAATAACTCTCTCATTAATAATGTCACAATTTATAGCCGACTTTTCTTGATTTTCGCCGCGGCACCCCTGTCAAACGCACCCAGTTTTAGAACCTCTGCTGTAATGCCTCGGAGTCAGGCGCTGTTACCGCGAAAACGGGTCGCCGTTTTTCCCGCTACGAAAGATTTAGGCATCGCTACTGTTGTGTAAAAAAGGCATGAAGAAACTTGAAAGTGTATCTGGGTGTCAGTGTTGCCACTTTAGACCTTTTAAATCCAAATTTAGATCTTTTTCATTGCATTTAGATACTGTTTTTGACGTTTAGATCGTAAATATTTTCCTAAATTCTTTTCATATCGAGTTGGATATTTTATAGATTTTTTTTCTTTCATTGTCAGTTTAATAATTACTGTGTAAAAAATTTATTACAATATTTTTGTTTTGGTCTAGCACGTACATTGTGACAACTGCCATTACTTGAACTTTAAACTCTCACTGGGGTCAACGCACAAATATCTGGCAGCCCCGGTACTGATTAATAAAAACGCGCGTAAATCATAATAACTTTGATTCAACCGTATCCACACTGTGCTGACTTTGCGTTTATTTTTCATGTGATTTTAAAAAAAAAAAATTGCTCACCTTCTTGTGTGGCTTTCACTTTGAAAAAAATTTCAACATGCCAAAAGTAAAGTATGAGCAAAAAATTTGGAAAGAGTGGTTGCATGATGACAAAATTAAAAACTGGGGATATGACCAAAGCTTGTTGTAAGTACTGCAAGAGTGAAATTAAAGCGAAAATACAAAACTCAAAGAGTCATGCAGAGACTAAAAAAGCAGAAAACTGCTGTTTCATTTGAAGATATTACACCGCTGACATCTGTTTTCAGAACTATACTGATAAATGAATCATCAAAAGTTGAAGTATCAGTCGCAATGTTTTTAATTTGTCACTGCGCAATTTCAAACTGTGACCGTTTGATCGATTTGTAAAAAATCTTGGACTAGTTCAATTTGAAAAGTGTGATGTAGAAAGTATAGTTTAGGAACTGAAGGACCTTTTAATCAGCATACAGTTAGGCTTGAAGAATTTGGCTGTAATTGGTACTGATAATGCCTCAGTGATGGTTGGTATAAACAATGGCGTTTATGCCAAGTTGAAAGAAGCTAACCCATAGTTAATACTTATAAAATGTATGCGTCATTCATTGCAACTAGCATTATCACAGGCTTCATCTAAATATTTACCTAGAAATTTGGAATGCCTTATTGCTGAAACACTTTACTGGTTTTCCAAATCATTTGTCAGACAACAGCAATACAATACATTATATACAGCCTTGAATGATGGTTCCACACCACCGAAAATTCTGTCAGATTGCAGAACTAGATGGTTATCAATTTAACCAGCTGTTGAAAGAATTATGAAGCAATGGCTGAAGTTGAAGACACACTTTGAAATAACAAGACAAAGTGAAAAGTGCTACACAGCTGAAATACTTTATGGAATGTACAGTGATGCAAAAAATGTGTCATTCATTCTCTTTTTATAACCTATTCTAATGGAAGTGCAAAAAGTTAATAAACTGTTCGAATCTAAACTTGTTGATAAAGTTAAATTACTTGATGATCTCACCTCGCTATTTCACTAGGTAAAAGACTGGTGTTGCCAACTTCTAAAGCTGATTTGCTTACTTGCACTATAGAGAGCTATTTGGCTCCTAAGCCACACCTTGGATATTTAATCGAATCAAAAATTGATGATTTAAAAACAATAGGACTGTTAACAGAGAATGAAGAGAACAAATTAAGAAAACGCTGTCAAGATTTCCTTATCTCATTATTAAAGCAATTGAAGCAGAGACTTCCTGAAAATCTAGATGTTTTGAAAAATATTTCACTTTTTTCTGTGAGCTACATACTTCAGTCAATAAAGGACATACCTAAATATTGTAAAGTTATGAAATTTTTAGGGGCTACTGATAATAGTGTCGCGGAAGCAGAATATCAGTTTACCAAAATAAAGTTAGCTGAATGGACAAACAAAACAGAAACTAAAGCGTTTTGGAGTGAAGTGAGACAATTTAAAGATGCCTCATCAAACAGTCCATTCTGTAAGCTCTTTAAAGTGCCATGTCTGCCAGATACTACCCCACTCAAATGCTGACATAGAAAGAGTTTTCAGTGCTAGCAATTATATCAAATCTAACCTTAAAAACAGGATGAAATTTGACCTCTTAAATGCTATAGTGCCATGAAAATTCGGCCTGATGAGACTAGAGAAATAAGCCTACTGTTCCACTTATAAAGAATTTGAACAGCTAAAGCATACCAGGGTCATTTTGAATCTGAAGCTTCAACTTCATTATCAAAGCTAAGTTTATCCTGTGGATCTTGTGAGGCAGACATCAGTGAAGGTGAGGACATGATTATGTAGGGTAAGTCATAACAAATGCTATGTAATTTTAACTTTTTCAATTTGGATGTTTTTTTCTAGATCTTTTCCACGCAGATTTAGATATTCTTAGATATTTTGTGACACCGTTTTGGATATTTTTTGTCAAAGAAAAGTGGCAACACTGCTGGGTGTGTGTGTGTGTGTGTGTGTGTGTGTGTGTGTTGTGTGTGTGTGAGAGAGAGAGAGAGAGAGAAAGAGAAAGAGAAAGAGAGAGAGAGAGAGACAAAGAGAGAGCATGCATTTTTTTGTTCTTTCGGGGTGTCTTTTCCCAAATCAGATTGAAAATATTGCAAATGAGAATATGGTGGTGCATTTAAATTACATCGAACGAACGCCTGAACGAAAAATGATTTAAATGCGAATTTGGCACATGGATAAAATCAGATTAAAGATGCATTACTAAAATAAAAAACAAAATAAGACAGGCAAAAACTGCACTATATATTTTAAAAAAAAAAGAACATCTTGTGCAATATATCGTTGTCTTGCTTGCTACATACATCCAGTTTTAACATATGGCTATGAGTCCTGGACTATCGGTAGCCAGGTCAATTTTTTGAGGCCTCAGAGATGTGGTTTTACAGAACAATGCTTAAAATACATTGGACAGCTTAAAAAAGTATCCACTAGGTTCTGAAAGAGGCGGGAGCCCGAAGACAAATAATCGCAGACATCAGAAGAAGACAGTCATCATTTTTCGGCCATCGTATAGAAAGAGTGAAAATGGAACATGTGGTGACCACTGGAAAGATTTGCGGAAGGAGAGATAGAAAAAGACAACGAGAGAAGATTCTTGACAGTCGTTGCATGTCATGGAGGTGTGTCAGCACACAAACTGATACATGCTGCAGGAGATCGCAGATTGTGGCAAAGCAAAATCGCCACACCAGTCGGCGAGGCACCTGATGATGATGATACAGTATTCGTATTCGTATTCGTATTCGGCTGAATAGTTGGTCCCACTATTCGTATTCGGCCGAATAGTGAAAACCACTATTCGGTACAGCCCTAATATAAAGTATATATCATTTTAATTTTTTGTTTATCTGTTCAACTAGCATATTCAGAACTCCCCTCACAAATGTGACCATCAAACACAAATTAAAAGCAGCGTGCTCATACCAACCCATTGCAGTCCGTACCAAAGTTTGACATTATTACATGTTTACCGACATAAACAACACCGAAAAAAAAAGAAATGCTTGAGGAAAGCTGTCAACGTCACAACCATCTTTGATCAAGTGAGCAATAATACAATCGGACAGACGGTGGAATCAACGCCGTCTGGCACACACTCATTAAGAAGTCAACCATCGATTAAACCGCACATCGTTTATCATCATTTGCTTAACCGCAAAATCTGAAGGTTCTTGAAGATCAAAACCCACGTTTTTACACCAGACGGCACTTAACGTGTGCTGGGGTAAATCTCAGGATAGCCGTATTTTCAAAAAAATGTATATACATACATAAATAATACATACATACATACATACATACATACATACATACATACATACATACATACATACATACATACATACATACATACATACATACATACATACATACATACATACATACATACATACATACATACATACATACATACATACATACATACATACATACATACATACATAACATACATACATACATACATACATACATACATA